GGGGGTGCGCGAGCTGCCATTAGGGGGTGCGCGAGGTGAAAAGTGTAATGGCTGCGGAGCTCAGAGAAGTCTGTCATATGTCACCATTAGCGTAGAAACTCATTTGTGGGTGGGCCAAAGAAAAACTAAGTGGGCCCAATAAATGTAAGTGAAAACAAGTATATTTTTGTGCGCGTGTCCTCCACATGTGTCCTAGCTTCATAATAATAATAATGCGCCGAGCTTCAGCACTCTGGCCTGCACACGCCGATATGTTCCGTATTTGATCATTTTTAACGGTGTTGGAGGAATCAGAAGGTGGCGAGTCATTCTGGCAGATTGTCATTAACACCTGTCTCATGCAGGTGTTCTGACGTTGTAAACCTCACACACAGAACATTGTGGATGTAACAAAATGACAAGAAATTATTCCCATTCAGGCTATTAACAGCGCGCTGAAGATCAGAAGTTCAGAGTGCGTCTGTCAGAGGTCAGACGCGATCCAGCGGAACCACGGCTCACGGGTGCACATGTGAGTACATCTGGGCTGGGCAGAAGGAATTTTACAACATTGGTTTAAATAGCGCGAGACGCGGTGACTTGAGCAGCTGTGCCGCGCGCGCGCACACACACACACACACAGTTTCAATAAGCGCGCACGCTGCTTTAACTCCGGCCCGCCGTCAGACTGAAGGCAGAAATGAACGCTGCCTCCACCGTGATAAAAACTTTTAAGAGGTTATTTTTCATTCAAGGTCAAATTAAGATATTAGCTTCTGGGATGAGTCGGGTCCGCTCCAGCCAGTGACTCCTCATGAACCTGACCACAAGTCCTGTTACTGCAGCATTTGTTATTCCAGTCCGCATGACAGCGGATCGCAGATTCAGCCTCACCATGAAACAGCAATAAGTCGGTCTGAGGTAAAAGTGAACATCATGGCTATATCTTGTCCCCTATTGACATTTGATTACGCACAAGCAGGTGATCAGCTCAGGTTTACGCAGAGCAGAAGGAAGGAGAGCGCTCTGGCCGCACAGGTTAAACGTTTCAACTTTAAGAAAACCGTTAAATTGCATTGTTCATGTGCTACCTGGGCACTCTAAATATTTATTTAAAATGAAATCAAAGGAAATTGTAATGGTATCGAATGTTTATTAATTACTATTTAAAAAATGAAAGAGATGGGGAATTTTTTTAACCCTGTCTGTTTAGCTTGACATCTGATATATATATATATATATATATATATATATATATATATATATATATACATGGTCGGGACATAGAAGGGGGTGCGCGGCTAAATAAGTTTGGGAACCACTGATTTAAAGTGGAGAACAACATATGTGTGATTCAGGGACCAGAAAAAAACTTTTGCTGCCCCGTTCAGGGAATCGTGTGCCGACCGGAAGGGGAGCAGCCTTAGGCTCCGTGTTGCTATTTACTCTTCCAGGTCTTTTTTAATAGGAAACTCCTCAGGTTGCACTGCTTATTGACAAAAATGAGCAAATAATCTTGATAAAATTAAAGGATTTTTTCCCATTTTGCCCACTGTGTAACCATGACGACAATAACAGCATTTTAATTTTAGCAGGTCGGCTAAAAGTTAAGCATACTCATGGTGGCGTTATGACGAGTCACCATTTATTTCACCCTGTAAGTCTAATGTACTCTGCATGGGGTCAAAGGTCACCTCAACTGAAAGTTTTGGTTCTTCTGAACATAAACATCCCACTTAATCATCATCTAACAAGATGAGGCTCTAGGCAGCTGACTGGAGCTAGACACCAGTTAGACCTCCATGACTGACTTAGGGGGTCCACATCGGGGACCTGGCCCCAGCTTTTGGGAACACCTCATGTAAAAGTAGTGACTTTGTCCACAAATCGTTCTAATCAAAATAAAACGTGAATTCAACTTCAGGATGTTTTAAGTGACTGGGAGGTAAACAGGTGGTGACTGTTCCTGACTAAACCCTGTCAGCCACCATGCTTGCTGCTTGTTCTCTCCTGCACCTCCTGCAGAAGCACTAGGGTTGTCACGGTATGAAAATTTAACCTCACGGTTATTGTGACCAAAATTATCACGGTTTTCGGTATTATCGCGGTATTTTTTAAACGGTTTTGCATATGTTCAGAAAGCATTGATAGTCCTGTTCTACACAAACTGAAATCGTTTTGAAAAGGTTTAACAGTGTTTATTAAACCTAAAATAACACAAAGCCTTAGCAAAAGTGCAACTTTTCACAAGTAAAGGAACAAATAGCTTCTTTTTCTGGAACATGTTACAGTAGTCAGTGCAGGTTTAAATGATACAAATCCAAACATTCGAAACATAAACAATATGTAAACAAATCAAAGAAACACCACTTGTTTTCTCATATACTTGTTTTCTTCATTATCAAAATGAAAATCTAAAACTCCAGTCCACACTTGACTTGAGCACTGTACAAGTCAACCTTAAAAAAATATGTATTTAAAATAAATAGCCACTTTAAACAAATTACTAAAATAACTACTACACTATGTAATCAAATCCAAATGTTCAAGTATAAATGGCATTGAATAAGTAAACAAATCAATGACAAGGAACTAATTGTATATTTCTCTTCATCATCAACAAATAAGATGCTTCATCCAGCAACAGGGTGTCCGTGACACGGTTTAAATGCTGGCAGAGGGCGCTGCGGCTGCAGTATGTAGTGACTCGTTGCATTCTCCCTCAGCCAAAAGTCCTCACGTCATGCATTTAAGCTAAAATGCTAATGTTAACCTACCTTGCACTGGCTGTAGAGACGTGGGTGATCGTCACGCAGACGTGCCATTAGATTCGAAGTGTTGCTGCCTTTTGCAGACACTTGTTTCCTGCACGTTCTGCAAACGGGATAGCCGTCTTCTATTAACTGTCCCTCAGCATTTTTCAGAAATCCAAAATATGCCCATACTTCCGATTTAGTCTTCTTTGAGGGCTGATGGATGTCCTGGGCGCTGCCGTCTCCTCCTTCGGCCATTATTTCAGCTTCAAAGTTTTGGTGCCGTTGCAAACTAAAAAGTGCGTGTGCGCGCAGCGGGAACTTCAGCTGAAGCGACGGTGGCTGGTAAGGGTCATCGCGCCGAAACCGCGGCCACGGTAAACCCACCGAGATAATATAGTTTTTTAAAAACTGGACGGTTATTTTTATTGTCAACTTTTTTACCGGGGTTTACCGCTATACCGGTTACCGTGACAACCCTAAGAAGCACCTCATGTAGCAACACCTCCTGCAGAAGCACCTCATGTAGCAACACCTCCTGCAGAAGCACCTCATGTAGCAACACCTCCTGCAGAAGCACCTCATGTAGCAACACCTCCTGTAGCAACACATCCTGCAGAAGGAGCACCTCCCGTAGAAGCACCTCCTGTAGCAACACATCCTGTAGCAACACCTCCTGTAGAAGGCGCACCTCATGTAGCAACACCTCCTGCAGAAGACCCTCATGTAGCAACACCTCCTGCAGAAGCACCTCATGTAGCAACACCTCCTGCAGAAGCACCTCATGTAGCAACACCTCCTGCAGAAGAAGCACCTCCCGTAGAAGCACCTCCTGTAGCAACACCTCCTGCAGAAGCACATCATGTAGCAACACCTCCTGCAGAAGCACCTCATGTAGCAACACCTCCTGCAGAAGACCCTCATGTAGCAACACCTCCTGCAGAAGCACCTCATGTAGCAACACCTCCTGCAGAAGCACCTCATGTAGCAACACCTCCTGCAGAAGAAGCACCTCCCGTAGAAGCACCTCCTGTAGCAACACCTCCTGCAGAAGCACATCATGTAGCAACACCTCCTGCAGAAGCACCTCATGTAGCAACACCTCCTGCAGAAGACCCTCATGTAGCAACACCTCCTGCAGAAGCACCTCATGTAGCAACACCTCCTGCAGAAGGAGCACCTCCCGTAGAAGCACCTCCCGTAGCAACACCTCCTGTAGCAACACATCCTGTAGAAGGAGCACCTCCTGTAGAAGCACTTCCTGTAGCAACACATCCTGTAGCAACACCTCCTGTAGCAACACATCCCGTAGAAGGAGCACCTCCTGTAGCAACACATCCTGCAGAAGAAGCACCTCCCGTAGAAGCACCTTCTGCTGCAGCACCTCCCGTAGAAGCACCTTCTGCTGCAGCACCTCCTGCAGAAGAAGCACCTCCTGCAGCAGCACCTCCTGTAGAGGGAGCACCTCCTGCAGCAACACATCCTGCAGAAGAAGCACCTCCTGCAGCAACACATCCTGCAGAAGAAGCACCTCCTGCAGCAACACATCCTGTAGAAGGAGCACCTCTCGTAGAAGCACCTTCTGCTGCAGCACCTCCTGCATCAGCACCTCCTGTAGAAGCACAGCCTGCAGAAGAAGCCCCTCCTGTAGAGGGAGCACCTCCTGCAGCAACACCTCCTGCAGAAAAAGCACCTCCTGCAGCAACACCTCCTGCAGAAAAAGCACCTCCTGCAGCAACACCTCCTGCAGAAAAAGCACCTCCTGCAGCAACACCTCCTGCAGAAAAAGCACCTCCTGCAGCAACACATCCTGTAGAAGGAGCACCTCTCGTAGAAGCACCTTCTGCTGCAGCACCTCCTGCATCAGCACCTCCTGTAGAAGCACAGCCTGCAGAAGAAGCACCTCCTGTAGAGGGAGCACCTCCTGCAGCAACACCTCATGTAACAACACCTCCTGCAGAAGAAGCACCTCTTGCTTCACGTGTAAACAACTTCCTGAAGTTTCCGTGAGCGTGAGTCAGCGTCACGCCTAGCTCCGGTGAGACACGTGTCTGATCCTGGTCTGTGACGCTGGTACCGGGCGGGTCAGACCGGGTAAATCCCGCTCCGTGAGTGTAGGAATGGAGCCTAAATGACGTCCAAAGCAGCAACTACCGGGTGTGTTTGTTTCCAGTCTCCAGAACACACCGAGCGGAGCCAAACTAAACACCGAACTCTTCACCCAGCGCCATTACACCGACAACCCGCCGAGCCCAGATCCCCACATACCTGTACCAGAGGGATGTCCGCCGCGTCGGGCGAGGAGTTGTCGAACACTCGGTCCCGGTAGAGCGACCAGAGCCCGACGTTCGGGAGGAAGAGCAGAGCCGCCACGAGCAGCCCGGCGACCTGCAGCAGCCGCTTCTGTTTCCGCCTCATGTCTGCGTGTGGAGCGGCGGCGGCGGAGCTTCGAACCAGCGAATCCCGGGAGCTCGCGTCTCCGAGCGGACTCAACTTTCACTCCGGCTCGGGGGACGGACACCGGTGCTGTGACGCTCCGCGGCTCGGCTGGAGGCTCCCCGCTAGGGGGCGCAGCGCGGTCACACCGGGTGGGGGTGGTGGGGGGTTGAAGCCTATAACAACCATGATAATAACAACAAACATTTTCATCAATAATAAACATTAAAGCGTGTTTAAAGGAAACCACGCGACCACTTTTTACTTTGTGGAATAAATATGAAAATTATTTATGACTTTGTGGGAAACTCATAATTATGACGTTCATTCATGGACAGGTGAGTCGTCTCTTAGCAGCAGGACAGCCGTGGACAGGTGAGTCGTCTCTTAGGAGCAGGACAGCCGTGGACAGGTGAGGCGTCTCTTAGCAGCAGGACAGCCGTGGACAGGTGAGTCGTCTCTTAGGAGCAGGACAGCCGTGGACAGGTGAGGCGTCTCTTAGCAGCAGGACAGCCGTGGACAGGTGAGTTGTCTCTTAGGAGCAGGACAGCCCTGGACAGGTGAGTTGTCTCTTAGGAGCAGGACAGCCGTGGACAGGTGAGGCATCTCTTAGCAGCAGGACAGCCGTGGACAGGTGAGTTGTCTCTTATGAGCAGGACAGCCGTGGACAGGTGAGGCGTCTCTTAGCAGCAGGACAGCCGTGGACAGGTGAGTTGTCTCTTATGAGCAGGACAGCCGTGGACAGGTGAGTTGTCTTAGGAGCAGGACAGCGCTGGACAGGTGAGTCGTCTCTTAGGACCAGGACAGCCATGGACAGGTGAGTCGTCTCTTAGGATCAGGACAGCCATGGACAGGTGAGTCATCTCTTAGCAGCAGGACAGCCGTGGACAGGTGAGCCGTCTCTTATGAGCAGGACAGCCGTGGACAGGTGAGTTGTCTCTTATGAGCAGGACAGCCGTGGACAGGTGAGTCGTCTCTCAGGAGCAGGACAGCGCTGGACAGGTGAGTCGTCTCCTATGAGCAGGACAGCCGTGGACAGGTGAGTCATCTCTTATGAGCAGGACAGCCGTGGACAGGTGAGTCGTCTCAGGATTGTTGATTTTGGTGACATCTGCACCGGTGAGGGAGTAGCTGCTCATATCTTGTAGAAAAACGACAACAAAGGTGATTCTGATTATCTTTTCCTTTTAACGGATGAATCCGTGTCTGTAAACGGATTCTTTTCTTCTCTAACGGCTAACGGACTGAATTCTTTGCTACAAGAGGAGGTTCATCTCTGAACTGCTGTGAAATCACCACTGCTGGATTTGTTTCATTATTCCTCCTGCTGGAATATTTATTCCCCACTCAGATGCAGGGCTGCTGCTTCTGCAGGTGTTTAAACGTTTGGCCGTTTGGCTGCTGTGCTGGGCTGTTGTTAGCTCAGTAAACCCATTGATTCATTTGATGGTTTTTCTCTGCAGAGGGTTGAGGCTGTGTCAGCGAGATGTTGCTGAGAGAATGAGGCTCAATTTGGACGTTTCAGGCTTTTTTTCTGCAATTTTCTCCTTGTTTTCTGTCTGTTTTCACTGGTGCATGAAAGAGCTGCTCGGGGGAAACGGGACAGGTTTCCACAGGAAACAAACCGCATCTAAGACTGCTGAATGTGTTTTCCGCAGTGGACTTCCCAGAAAGTTCAGCCCAAGGTCAGAGGTCAAAGGAGTGACCAAAACCAGAAGAGCTCCATCTCCAGAGGCTTCAGCTGCTGAGTTAACAGAGCGACCAACAACCACCGACATTCCAACATGAAGATAAAATCCCTCCAGAAATGATCCTTATCTGTGGTCAACCCTAGAGAGGAGGTGGAGAGCTCTGAGCTCAAGGTAGAGCTCCTGCTGCTCATCATCATCATCTTCTGGATGATTTCTGAGCGTGACCCACGGGCGGAGGCCCATTGAGTCCCTCCTGACCCCATAAGGGAATCAGCCCATTTGTGGGAATTATCCGAGGCCTTTCCGTTTCTGAATCGTGGCCAAAAATCTCATCGACAACCCTCTGCAGTCTGGTTCAGTCATTCGTGTTTTTATCACAGCGTGCTCAAATGAAACATTCTCTAATTGAAAGGCATCGCTGAGACATAAAAACACATTTTCACAAATCAATGGCTTTCATTCACCTGGCTCCATGGAAGCATGGTCCATCAGAACGGACTCATAGTTCATCAGAGGAGCCGGATGCTGCGGCGAACGCTGTTAACGGCTTTCAGCTCAGCAGATAATCATCAGTGTGTCTCTGAGGGAATTCCAGCGCGCTGACAGGATGCTCGGCAAATTACCTCGACTTTTCTTTCTGCGACCTCTTTCAAATCCACACTGAGGCCGCGATGCAAACAGGAGGAGTTTTAAAGTGGAGCGCTGCTCAATCAACATGAATCCCACCATGCAGGAGTCATCCGTGATTCATGCTGGAAGACGCTGAACAGATTGACTTGTCACAACTGAGGCGGCAGCAGACGAGAGGAATGAGCTCTCATCTGTCCCAGTCCTGACCAGGAGCAGAGGAAGGCAGGATGAGTTCATCCGGAGCTGAGTACGTTTGTTCAGGCGTCTGACCTTCCACCGAGGCGAGTGTCGACGTGTCTGCTCGTCAAACAGCGACGAGCAGACACGGGTGGTGTTTTCTCATACTAACGACAGAAGAGTCTGACGTATCAGAACACATCAGTAATACGCCTTCCTGCATGACGTCTGGTACCAAACGAAGCTGGAGAACCACAGCTGGACTCGGGAGGATCCGACCACGAACATCTGCTCCAAACTAAAGACACAGAAGCAGAAAAAGAAGTAAAGTCTGTGAACGGCAGGTTTGGTGATCCTGGACAAAGGTCCAACCCTGTCTCTCCAGGCTGTGCTCATAAGCCCCCCTCCCAAAGAAAACAATGAATAAAACCACAGGAGAGTGCCAGACCCAGCAGATGCCACAATCTGCTGAAGGCTCTCAGGCATCCAGGTCATGGTACATCATGGTGGTGTGGAGGGGGAGGGCCGATCAGAGGGCAGCGTGATGGAAGGATCCGGATCCAGTCGTTAAGAACGGGACATTCACAATGGTCGAGTGAGGGTTTTCCAGGATTGTACGTTTCAGAAACAATTAAAAATCTTTTTTTTGTGACAAAAATATAATTTGAATCGGTGTGTGACGAGCATTTCAAGCAACCTTCAACAACCCGCAGAACCCTCTGATATTTTCTGTAATTTGTTCTATTTACCTCTGATTAAATATTAAAATAAAACCACACAAAATAAAAGGGAAGGGAGCCTGAAAGCTTTGTGGTCTTGCCCTACTCACCCTAATGTTTGTATTTTCATAAACCTGCTCACACACACACACACACACACACCCATCTACTCTACATGAGCTCATAAACTCTCTCCTAAAAGAGTCTTATAATTAAAACACGTGGAGTAAAAGTCTTTTAGAGAAAGGATAGAATTAAAGTCTTGACCATCGTAAAGCTCTTTAACGATCTACGTTATCCGTTTATAATCCCGTTAAACTCCCGCAGCGCTCCCTGAATGCTCGCACACCGTCTTTGTGATGATTGTGTGTGTGTGTGTGCACTAGTGCACCGTTATCGGCTACAGTCCAGTGTGCTGCACCGCTGTGGAAAGTGTGTAAAACACACGTCTAACCCGACACCGTGTTTCGTGTTTGGTTTTAATCCGCTCATGTGGAGCAGAATTCCCTCCCGCCGTGAAACTAATCAATGATAACCGGATGTCTCTCAGGAGCAGTGCAGTAAAATGTTAAGTGTGTTGCTGACTCCGCATGTCAAACATGTTCCTGCAAACAGCAACAGCACCCATCAACGCTGCAGCTGTTTGTCTAAATGCAGGATAAATGTTATGGTAAAGCTGTCTGATGCGTGAATTATTAAAGCCCGGGGGCCATTTTCTTTCTTGTTTAAGCATGAAAACGTTTAGATGATTTTTCAGAGGTACGTGCATGTTTAGTAGTTGTGTTGGGTTCAAATGAATGCTTCAATAAGAAGAAGAATGAATGATTTTTAAAGTGTTAGAAGATTTTCTAAACATCAGAAACCACTGGCATGTTGATAAAATATCTCAGACGTACCGATGTTGGTCCTAAGGGGTGTGGTGTGCACCAAATACACAACCCCACACACGATCCAGCTTCACGCACCAACATTCCTCGGTCAGACAGGAAATCTCACCAAACCTCTGGAGATCAAACGTGAGGAGCAGCCTGCACCGTGCTTCCATCCCCTCGCTTTTCGATTGGCTACACATCACCATCAGCAGGGAACACACTTGTTGGTCCTTCATGTTGGACCAAGACAATCCAACATGTTGAATATCCCAGATGTATGATCTGCCTCTGAACAGGATTGGGTCAAAAACTGTAAAAATGGCGTAAATATCAGGCTGAGTGAACCCAACTTTAACCTTTGCATCTCCAAAGGAACGTGTGGTCCCCGCTGTGAGTCTGATGATAGAAATCAAACTGTGCGACTCACAGCTGCAGCAGAAATAAAAGACCAACATCTGAAAGAGACCAAGAGAGATTTCATTGTTAAACTCCAAAGCAAAGGCCAGGAGAAGGATGAAGGACGTCTCCGGGTGTCCTCATGGTTGGATGGTCGTAGCAGCAGTCAGGCTGCACGACTTTCCAGGGAACATCTGGAACACCTTGGAATTTGAGAGTTGACTCGTTGGAGTCATCATGAAGGTCCGGAGACGGTGAAGTTTGTTTGGATGTGCTGGCAGATCACAAACCTTTTTAAACCTTAAACTTCAGGTTTTTTTTCACAACTTCTCGTTTTCTGGAAATAAAACGCATTTTTAGCAAAAAAAAACAATCAGTTGTTAAAGAATAACTGCCAACTCTGTTTCTGCTTTTCTAAATGAATTCACTTTCTCAGACTCACAAAGTTATAATGGTCTCATTACATTTAACATTATGTCACATCGAGTGAACCCGTCCTAAGGCCCTGAAGTACGGGAGCACTAGCCTGACTGAAGGAGGTGGTCTGCACAGCCGTTGCTCCGGATTTGGAAGGTTTTTGTCTCCCAACGATGCTTCTCTAACTACCCCATGGTAATCTGAAACCAAACCAAGACTCGTCTAAAGTAATCTGAACATTAAACCTAAATCCAGAGATCAGGGATCTACTTTGTTTTGTTTGTTTGTTCGATTCTTTTACAGGCAGAAAAAGCTCA